CCCCCCCCCCCCCCCCCCCCAGGGAAAGCCAGGTCCTCGTGGTGAGAAAGGTGAGAAGGGAGAGCAAGGCCTAAAGGTGAGATGAAAATATTTCTTCAGGCTTAGTAACATTTAGAAACTCGAGTGTTGCTCCTTCAGCTGGAAAGCCCGCACTACAGCAAACACAGGTTTAGTTTAGATTGGTTTAGTTCAGAATTGTTACATACATGTATGCACAAGGACCAGATGCACTCTGGTTAGTGTTTGTAGGGAACGCTAGAAAAAGAAAAGTAATACATCCACAAAAACATCCACAAGATACAAAATACAGGTGTGTCTTTAGGAGTATCAGGGGTGAGAACATTGTGGCTTAAGTTGGCAGAGGTGAACAAAATCTCTTTCCAAAACTCCTTTCCATGTCAGTTTCTCCTCTTTCCATTGGCTATGCATTCTTCTTTCATCTGCTGCAGATCGATCCGAGCATCACAATACAATCACCAGTGTGATCTGGTGATTTAACAGTAAAATCATGGTTTGGTCGGAGGCACGCCTTGGAGCTCCAAATCGATGACTACAGTTAGTTTCTCTGTGTTTCAGGGGGAGGTGGGTCCTCCAGGAAAGTCTGGATTAGAGGGAGGTCTTGGACCCCTGGGCAGCACGGGGCCTCGAGGCATGGCCATGCAGGGTAAAGCGGTGAGTAACCTGCTTAGCTTTAAACATGTAGTGTTATTAAACATGGACTCATGAATCTAGTGTTTTGTATACAATGTTTGTGTTTTCTTATTTTCCTTTTTAGGGTCCACCTGGTGCAAGGGGGGGAAAAGGAGAACCTGGGCGACCAGGGGTCCAGGTGAGTCTAAAATGAGTCACCAAAACACAGAAATAGAAGAGAGAACACTTTAAATCTTCCTCGTACTGTTGTGTTTGAACCCATTCCTCTGCCTCTCCTCGCCCTCTCTCCAACCTTGCTGTTGTGTTTCTCTGCAGGGTTCACCAGGACCTCCAGGTCCAAAAGGAGAGGTGGGGATTCCAGGCCCTCAGGTGAGCTGCTTGATCCCAGAACGCCACATGTCAGCGGTGACCCTCCGTCCCTTTTCGTTTGTCCTCATCTCTCTGCTATGTGTGTTGTACACAGGGCATTAGGGGGCTCGAAGGAAACATCGGTGGACCAGGCATCACTGGACCCCGGGTAAGACTGGATTTCATTTTAGAGCCACTGTGTGTAGAATTTTGACTTTGGTGTCACCGTGGGGTCAGAATTTGACCGTGACCAACATTTTGGTCCGTGACACGGAATTTTGAAAAAGTAATATCTTAATGGCCATGAAACCTACTGTGGATATGTGGACACATACAATTTACTGAGAACGAATGAGCCGTTTCCATTTTGGTCATGTTCTGAGCTTTCCTCTAGCACCCCCCTCAGCCCAAAACCCGGCATTACTGGGCCCAGGATGTGTTTAAAAGATTTGTAGAGCGACGTCCAGCCTGGCATGTAATAAACACAATGCTATTGCAGTTCCACTCAACAATAAACTTTGCCTTTTGCACTACTGCTGGCAAGGAGCTTATGTTGTTCACTGTTGTATTGTCTGCTGTGACGACCTACTGGTGGGGCTTTTTAAGGTAGTCAATGTGTTCTGACCTGGGAAGTCTGTATTGTGGCCCCCAGCTGGAACAGTGTCAACAGCAGAGATTCCCCTGACTGGAATGGATAATTCCTCTACCACTATTGGCTCGGGAGCTCAGGAAACGGCTTTGACTGTATGTCATGTTTTTACGTTTGTCTTTCTGCTCCACACATCCGTCTATTTGTATCTTACAGGGTTTCCAGGGAATGCCCGGACACCCGGGGCCTATAGGGGACAGGGGCTTCTCAGGACATGTGGGACCTACGGTAAGACCAGAGGGACAAATCACGTCTGTCTTCACATTTGGTTATGTAGTGAACATGTAATTCACAGTGAACATGGGTCAGAAATATACGTGCTATATTTACAGACACTCAAGCCGCTCTAGTAGTTCTTGGGACCTTCAAAGAAAAATGTTACACCCGACAGCCTTTACACACATAATGAACACAAAGGGAAGGCAAAGTGTGATGCATAGCCGATGTGTAAATGGCACATGGCCAGTTTGTGCGGGGGGGGGGGGGGGGGGCCCTTTTTTTTACCCCCCGGTGCGGCCCCCCGGGGCCCCCTCGGGGAGAGGGGG